TCTAATGATTTATTTATTAAATTTATTAAATTATTCTAATAAATTTATTCTAATTTTATTAATTAGAACTAGATTACGATTGGAATTGTGAAACAAAATTTTTCTCTCATGTTTCACACATCAAATGAACCTTTGCATTGCAGATATTTTTTGTAAATTATCATCTCTTAAAACAACTTCTGAGCAAGCTATAAGATTAGTTTGCTTTTTTAATAGATCAACTTTTTTTTTGAGAAAGTTACGTAATGAGCAGGAATTTGCGTATAATGGTAAATATTTTTCACTAGCAATGCCAAACAATACGCGATAGAACTCCCATTATCATTGTTTTGCTAGTATACTTAGAGCAAAATTAGCATTAAAGATATTGTATGTGTCATTAGTTTATTTATCCTATAAAAAATTTTTATCTGAATATTTCCATTATTTCTCTGTAGCCTCCGTAAAAATTCTGTGAAAATGATACATTTACGGATATCCATGTTAGAGAGACGAAAATTTTTATGATTTAAGGTAATAAATTCCATAAAAATGATACATTCATGAAAAAAACATAGAATAATAAACACGAATTAATATTTTTTTATAGGGTTATGATATATTTTAACATATATTTTTTTTTTAATTGAATGTAGAATCTTGCATATAAAATTGAAGAATTTAATGATAATGATTTACATGATTTTTCCGATGATATATTGTCAAATCTTATTTCACCAACATAGTAGAAAGAAATTAAACAACTAGAGTCTCTTCTTTTGCCTTATTGCGTTATATTGAATAAATTACAACATAATAATGCAAAGCTCCATGAAATTTTACATTATTTTGATTGGGTGTCAAAGATTCTGAAAAATTTACCTAATCAAGAACTGGCTCTTGCATTAACAAAAAAATTGGAAAAGAGATGGGCTACTTAGGAACAACCTCTCATTATTATTTCCTTTCTTCTTTACCCCAAATATCGCGATATTTACTTTAATCCAAATTTAATAAACTTGTCATATTCGTACCTTGAGACGTGGGTATTCTACTATTACAAAGTATAGTTTGAAGAATCACCGAAGTATATTTTGTTTGAACTGTTTAAATTTAGCAAAGGTCAATATCCATATAATACAGAAATATATTTGCAATTTGATGATGATATTTTACAGTTTTGGAAATATATCAAAGGTTATAGTAAGGAGCTACATAAAGTAGTGCAGCACATTTTTTCTATTACTGGTAACTCTGCATCTATTAAATGAATCTTTTCAATCATGGAGTGGATCTATAGTCCAAGAAGAAATCAGCTGAAGGTAATTTAGATCTTTATTAGGAAATAAAAATTCAAGAATATAAATTATATAATTTGGCCTTCAATTTTCCTAGCGAAGTTCATATTTAATGGATATATAGCAGCTTAGTAAGGTACGGGTGACTTGATCAGTATAGTACGAATACAATTTATTATAAAGTATGGTTTTAGTTACCATACTTTATAATAAATTGTATCCGTACTATACTTGTTCAAGTAACCCATATCTCGCTAGTAATGTTTATCAATTATACTAATAGTTTATTTTATTTTATTTAATAGTACGATAAAGTGGTTTCAATGACAAGTTTACATTACGAAATGAAACAAGCCAGAAGAACCGAGAAAATCTCAAATTTAAATATAAATCTTAGCCAAAATGATACTTCTAAATCAGATAATCTAAGTAAAGGTTATAGAATGAATGCAAGTCATGAGAGTAATAAGTTTCAAGAGGAATTCGAAAATTATGAAGAATTCAGAGGATTTGAAAATTATGAAGAATTCAGAGGATTCGAAAATTATGAAGAATTTGAATGTAATGAAGAAAGTAATCATGAAGAAAATGATAATTTTAGCGAAAGCAGAACTTACTGTAATGTGTTATCTGGAGAAGATACAGATATAGATGTCGATGATAAAGCTGATGACCAAGTGAATTCAGTAGATTTGTGGAGATGTTTGGTAGAGCAATGGCTGTCGTTAATTGAGGATGAAGATAATGCAGACGATGACTCTATATTAAATGAAGAAACTAACTTGGTTAATATGAATAACTAAGAAGAACTTGAAATGTCAAATAATTTACTAGTATACCCTGCTGTTAACTAAACTGCGAAATGGCATCTTTCTGAAATTTTTTACAGATCAATTGGATATTCTAAATTTTTTAGATATCGATACATTATAAATTTGATTTACAAATTTATAATATTGGATTTTGTTAGTGACTCAGTTTCATTTTATTGTAATTAGATTACATATTAGTTAGTAATGGTTAAACAGAAATAATAAATGTTTACAATAAGCGTTGTACATACCTGCTTTGATTAAAATCCAAAGGTAATGTAATGTTAGACATGTTGATTAGTATAATTATTGGGCTGACTAGTACGACAGTAATAAAGCCATAAAAATAATAAATTTGAATTTTTGAATAAAACAAACACCTCAATTTTATTATAAAAATCCAGTTGAGGAATTTTAGAACGGTAAGAAAATTTTTAAGTAACGTTATTTATTATATTTATTATATTTTTGGATTTATGTTAAAATTCTTTAACAATTTAATTCTATCTACTTAGAGTAATTGAATAATTTTCTTCAATAGTTATTAATGAAGGTTACGCAGCTAAAATCGCATTATCAGTTAATAAGAAAACTGAACTTGTTTTTTAACGAATAATTTATTTAAGTTTAAAATACTGTTTCATGGAGTTTATTATTCTTATACATGATACTTTATTAAAATTAGTTTTAATTAGAGAGTGAAGGTGTTATAAAATAGATCTAACAATTAGCGGACCAAACAT